TTAGTAATCAGCACACTGTGCATCACTGAAAATTATCGAAACTATCTCTCGAATCATACCGATAATTTTGAACATGGATAATGAAGTTCCCACGCGTCACTGAAAATTCTTGAAAGCACCTCTTGAATCGCTATGATTATTCTGGTATATATAACCTATTGCTAATAAATCTAGTAGTTCATGCCGGGCTACAAAAATGTTACGTCGAGCACATATTCCATCTGCCTAGCAGGCGAACTCTTCAACCTAGTTGTTTAATTTTGTGCTGTTTTTCAAATACATTGGATATCAAAACTAACATTACAGAAAGAAAACAAACCTGTCATTACTACTGTTACAAAATGCCCAACCGCAGTAAGATAGCTTCCCCCGCAAGGCGGGTTTAGGGTTGCAGACAATGGCAAGGGAAGGCAGGGTTGTCATATTTGTCTCAAAATCACCCATTTAGCTACACTTGTAGACAAAATTGGCAATATGCCATAGACGGACGGAGAACATTCTAGAATGAATTCTTACCAGTTTGGCATGGAATATTCTCGATGGCAGACCAAAAGCTATATAAATGCCGTCTGTACATGGAGTAACAATATATCGTAGTGCATCGTCGAGTCAATCGTGAATCTTATCAAAAAGTATCTTGAGTGTGTTGAGCTCTGAGATCGATCGACCAAGTCAGGAGCTGTATTTAGTGTTTTGCCGTGAACTTGTCTTCATTATTGTAGCCTGAAGGCTGTGTTGCTGATTGTTTCAGCAAGCTTATCATTGTTTTTTGATGACTGTAAGCTTGTTTTTGGAACTGTCCTGAATAATACTTGCAAATAAATTGTGTTTTGATGCTTCATCAAGTGTTGTCGTCAATCACTCCAAATCCACGAACCCGTAGAAATGCAACACTATAAGGAATTTATTTCACAGATGCAGATATAACATGAATGCATAACTCTTCCTATTTCTACAGACATGCCCAGATGTTTGATGTGCAGGCGTTTTGTAACATGGCAGAAGTCTGCACATTAGTTAAGCTCCTAAGCACTTGCCAAATAGGTGTACTTATCCATGCCACTTATTCATGCCACAAACTTAACTCACCCATCCGAAAAGGCTGAAATATTGCTAACAACTGATGCTTCCGATACTGCCATTGGAGCCGTTTTATATCAGATTGTGAATAATGCAAAAACACCCTTAAACGTTTCTTTTCCCGAAATTTGACATCACACAACAAAAATATAGTGCCTACGACAGAGAACTCCTAGCCATCTATACAGCAGTAAAACATTTCAAATACATTCTTAGAAGGGCGACCTTTTGCAACATACACGGATCAACAAACCAACTAACATTTGCCTTCCAACAAAATTTGGAAAAAGCTTCGCCACGACAAGCTAGACAACTGTCATATATTGGCCAGTTCTCAACCGATATCCGATTCATACAAGGGCATGAAAATACCGTCGCTGACGCTCTCTCTCACATAGACACCATTTCTGTACCATCTGCAATAGACTTACAAACTATAGTAGACTGTCAAGAAGATGACGACTTGGAGATACTAAAAAACAACTCAAACTTAAAAATCCTACAGATCCCTATACCGGACAGCGACAAGAAAATTTACTGTGATACTTCTACAAATTATAATCGCCATACATCCCTGCAAAGTTTCGGCAGAAAATATTTCTTCAATCCATAATTTATCTCATCTGGAATAAGAACCACGATAAAAATTGATAACACGATGTTTCATATGGCCCAATATGAATAAAGACTGCCAACTATGGACTAGAGCATGTTTTATCTTGCCAAAATCTAAAGTTCACAGACATACACAGTCATCTTTGGGAGAATTCAAAGTACCTCCACACAGATTCCAGCATTTAAACATAGATCTGGTGGGTCCACTACCTCCTTGCAAAGGATTCAAATACCTTCTAACCATCATCGATCGTTATACACGATGGATCGAAGCGGTACCGTTAGATGATCAATCAGCAGAATCTATTGCTAAAGCTTTGATTTATACTTGGTTTTCACGCTTTGGAATTTCGAATCGCATAACATCTGACCAAGGTCGGCAATTTGATAGCCAACTTTTTCAAGCTTTAGGAAAATATCTTGGTTTTCATACAAACACTACAACTGCGTACCTCCACAGCAAATGGCCTGATCGAAAGACAACACTAAACTTTAAAAGCAAGTCTCAAATGTCATCTACTCGAATCAAAAATCATGGCTGGAAGCATTGCCTTTCATTCTTTTAGGCATAAGATCTGCCTTCAAGGAAGACCTTAGGTTGCTCATCTGCAGAACTTGTATACGGAACCCCTTTAGCATTCACCTGGAGAATTCTTTTCAACAGTACCTCATATGAAACAGTCTGAATTTTCTCAAAACCTTCAGAAAATAATACAGAAATATGAAGCCAAGTTCTACCACTACCCATGGAAATAGAACAGTCTTTGTTTCTAAACATCTTTCCAACTGTTCTCACATATTCCTATATAACAACATTAATAATTCGTCGCTACAGCCTGTCTATGTTGGACCGTATCCTGTAAGAGCAAAGAAAGGATAAGTACTTCGATATTGAAATCCAAGGAAAAGTTAAAAGAGTTTCAATAGGCAGACTAAAGCCATGTTTCCTAGTGCAAGATTCTGATATTCCTTTTCAAAACTCCCATTCCAAGAAAGCGGAACTTGGGGAAACACCTGCACTCAAGAACACTGAAGAAAATTCAGAAACTCATCATAAAACCAAGACTACTAGAACCGGCAGACATGTGAGGTTTCCCAGTCACTTTAAAGACTATCTTCCATAATCGCTGTCACTAGGAAGGGGGTGTGTAGTGTTGCTTCAGTTCCGTCAAGTTTCTAATTAAATTTAGTTAAAGCGGAATGGCAACACCATCTAGTGTCTGCGAAGAATGAAGTAAACAAACTTCGAGTTTTTGTTACACGATGCTACGTGCATGTAAAATGTAAATAAATCTTATGAATAAAGTATCTATAACATCGTAAGGAATAAAATATTGGTTCCATTGGAGTCAGAGAAGTGTTATTTTTCTATATTTGCACACCAGACACTTCACACCACATTCTAACTGTTGGACCCATAAGGGATGTCAAATGACTTACTTTCTCGTCTTGAATTTCTAAGTAAAAATAACTCAGAAGAAAGTTTAAAATAAATTATTATCAGCCTAACGGTTACATAGTATAACTTTCCATTGGGTTACCTAACCTGTGTATGGAAAATAAATCTCAAATGGAGTCTGGAGGCAGAGGATATTTTTGAAAACAAAAGATCAGATTTTAAAAATAAACTTTTATGGGAGCAAAATTTCATATTATTTGTGACATTTTTGTTCTGTTGATCCATCATTGCTTGATGCAACATTATGAAAATTCAATGATTAAGGTGAAAGAGCTCTATTTGGAATAACAATATTTGATAAAATGGGAATTAAACATTTTGGCTAAAGTTTAAATCATTATCAAACCAGTGATTCTTCCCATGACTCCAAATATTTCAGCATACACAATAATTGGTGAAAGAAATTATGATCCCTGCCTAGGATTACCAAGGAATTATTATGAAAGATAGAGTTGCCTGCGGGAAAAGCGTTCATTAAGCATATTATTGTGAATGGTAGTGAAATCTGTGAAGCAATTGTATAAAAATGCTTGACTTACTTAGGGACAGGAAGTTAATTTCCAAGGAGATCTGCAGAAAATTGAGACAAGTCTCCCAACCAAGTAGATGTTGAAGGTTCACTCCACCAAAAATAAAATCCTTGTAAAATTCTTCCTCAGATTAAAAGAGTTCTATGGAGATTGCAATGTGAAACAGGTTCTTCAACAGTTACTCACACCATTCAAAGACTAAATAAAAGAAGTACCTTACAACAAATAGCTAATTTTCCTGCTGGATCACAACTGTTGTGACAACAGGAGCACACGGGAATGTAAGCAGATACTACCTGAAGTAAAATTAACTTGAGAGAAAAAATATTAGTGAGAATAATTAAATAAATCTATTAGTATTGTGTTTTAGATTAATTTTGTAATATTGCATTCCAATGACCATTACCTGTTCAAAAAATAACATAACCAGAATAGTAATTACCGGAAATGGAATTATTGGAAATTTTACGTATTTGTTGCTCTGACCATAAGCCAAAAGCGGACAGTAAAGCTATCACATTTTTACATACATATTATCAGACATTAGATTAGCAATTAATAAAGAAACGTGGCAATGCATGATTTCTATTTCAAATTCCATTTGTATTAAAAAATTAAAATATATGTATTCAAAACAAGTCGCATTTCAGATGACAAAGAATCGCATACAGCTCGCGAGCTGTAGTCAAGGTGTGGGTGAGCCGCAGTTTGGCCATGTGTAGGATATAGCATAATCTGCACAGTATCCTTTTCAATAATTCAACAAAACATAAAGCCACATTTTTATGATATAATGATAAAATTACACTTTCGGAATCAAATTTTAAATAATTACTGAAAAAAAAAAAAAAAAAAAGGTTGCAGTGGGGCAAAAGCTTGAATATACAGTAATCATAAAAAATATTACATAATCATAAATAACTATATTATTAATGTTATAAATTAATGTTTTAATTATTTTAATGATTAACTCATATTTAATGGCAGAGTAATTGAAATTTTTCTTTAAATGATTTATGGAGTCTAAATACTTACTGGTTATCTTCTATCAAGTTTGGTTTGGGTTTGGTTTAGTTTAATAAGGCAAAGCATACTAGGGCTACCTACACGAGGGGAGGGATGCCTTCATGAAGGACTTTCTAAGGGAAACTGGTTCGCATACACATTACACCTGGGAAAAACCACGAAAACGCACATGTATTTGGCCTGTTTGCCGGGATTCAAACCCAGGTTGGATCTACCAGTATTTGGCAATTTTATTACTCAGCTGCTGGAGGACATTTAGCTTCTGTAAGATCTCAGGATATGTTACTTACTGTAATATAAACAGATTTGCCAGTTCCTGTAGGTCCTATAAACAAAGTTGGTTTTCCATGACGGACAAGTAAAGACATAAGTGTACTGTAACGAACTGTATCTATTGTTGTCACAATGATCTGATTAACTTGTGCATCCTTAGGAATAGCAGGAGCCCTAGAAACCTCTTCTTTCCAATCGGCCCAATGTCCAGGAGTTTCACCATCTTCCTAAATAAAATAAAATTCACAATACACTTAAAAACATAGTAATTATATACAGCTACATTGTTCCCATGAATGTTTGACACATTTATATCAAAAAATAAAAATTCAACTTTTCATTTTGATTAAAAAAAATTATAATGAAAAACTAACCATCACTACAGTATTTCCCTCCATAATTTTTTCATTTACCAGAAAATAATAAAAATGAGATATAGAATACGAAGACTATTAATAATAGTCTTCGTATTCTATATCTCATTAAAGAAATAAATGTAATAAAAGACTATTTAGAAGCTTAATAAGTTCAAATGAATGATTTCACAGTCTATTAAATGATGCAAATCTAAGAGTGTTTTTAAAAACTAGTAGAGAAAATAATGATAGTGTGTGTAAAGTGTAAAAATAATGATATTTATGTTTTCATGAGAAAGTCAGAAGAAAATATATAGTAGTAAAAATGATTCAGAACTTTAATAAGAAGCCAAATTTTAATCTGCATAATTTTTAAGTGGAATTATGTGTAGGGTCATTACTTATATTGACCAGTTACTTTAATTTGGACTCTTACTATAACCTGTTTTCCATTTTTCTGACCCGAATGTAAATGAGTAGCCGGAATTTGGATATTATGACAGATCATGTTTTTGACTGTGTGTGCACACTAGGTTTAGTTCTTGCTACCTTTGATATTTATGATTATTTGGCTCTGCATTATGTTGCTGCCAACATGTTGATTTTGATGCTCAGGTATAATTATTGAGCCAGCTTTGAGTAAAATTTAAATTGTGTAGTCTTTGACTACTGTTACAATTTTAACTTAAAGTTGACTGTTTCTGTTTAGTTGCCTCACCTCAGTTGTGGTTGATAGTTTTAGCACAAGGAAGTGCACTTACGTTCTAGTTTTTGTTTAATAAAAAAGGTTACTAAAACATTTTCATGATTTGTAGTTATTTCAGATCTAGTGATAATTTGCTTCACATCTGATAAGGTTATTAGAGCTAGATCAAATAAACCCTATATATGAATAAACCTTACTGGTTCAACTTAACAAAAAATTTCCCCCCTCCAATCCGTTTTTGTTGGACAGTTTGAATTTGAAATGAAATTAAAATTAATTGAAAAAAAAATTAATGACAAGCTGAGTTATTATTTTTATTTATGGACTATATACATTAATAAATAGTTATTTTCTATTTTATTGACATATTAATAAATAAATATAAGGCAAGAGGATGGACGTGATATTTGCCATTAGTGATTCATTTACACTCATGTCCATAAATTAAGGATAATTCGGAGTCATGCGGAAATCAAACTCTAAAATAAATATACCACCTGTAAAATCACTACACACATCTTCAAGAATAATATGCAAATTTCAGGAAGTAACCAGATGACACCGATGGTACATCACAATGACGAGAGTGTAAGAGAGTGATATATAAGGAATACAGGCAAAGAATTAAAATTGTTCGCAGGCGCTTTATGAGCATTCCAGTGCAATAACAGAATAGTCATGACACAAAGGACGCATTTGGATGATTTTTTACGCGGTAGAATTATTGGCCCTCTGGAATGTGGGCGTACCAAACTGGAAGTATCAGACGAACTTGGAATTGCCCAGAGTGTCATCTCCAGGCTTTGGCAATGATTCCAAGATGATGGTAATGTGAGTAGACGTTACAGCACAGGTCGCCTCAGAGTTACAACGCCGAATGAAGACCGGTATTTGGCAGTTACTGCCAAAAGAAAAAGGCGGAGCACAGCCTCAGACCTGTCTCGTCAGCTCTCTTTAGCCACTGGTACGAAAATTTCAAGGCAGACCATGTACAGACGCTTAGGGCAGATTGGTCTATATGCTCGTAGACCTGTCAGATGCATTCCACTTACTGCAACTCACTGTCGCCTGCGGTTAGCCTAGAGTAGAGAGCATGCATTGTGGACACTGCAACAGTGGGCTTGTGTGATGTTTTCCGATGAGTCCAGGTTTAGCTTGCAGTCTGATTCTCACCGGACTTTCATATGGAGAGCTCCAGGTACACGTTACCACCAAGAAAACATCATTGATTGACACCGTTACGGTGGTGCAAGAGTGCTCGTTCAGGGTAGAATTATTCTAAGTTCCAGAACTGACCTGCATGTTCAAATTGGAACCATGACAAGCCAAATTTATCGGGACGTCATTCTAGAACAACATGTACGTTTGTTTCGGGGCGCCATGGGCAAACAATTTGTGTTTATGGATGACAACGCCCGTCCTCACCGTGCAAACATCATAAGCGAATGCCTTCAATCAGAGGATATCACCCGTATGAACTGGCCAGCATTCTCACCGGACTTGAATCCAGTAGAGCACGTGTGGGACATGCTTGGCCGACGAGTTGCAGCCCGTCAACCTCCTCCTACACGTCTACCGGAACTTCGGAGAGCATTGCTTTTTGAGTAAATATAAAAATTTGTAATATCCGCCAACATCAGATCGATAATTTGATACTCAGCATGCCTAGGCATTGTACGGACTGTATTGCATCGTCTGGGAGATATACAATGTATTAACAATCATACCAACCATGTAATATTGGTTTTTTGTAAATAGGTTTTTTTTGTAATTTGCTCCAGGAAGAAAAAATCTCTAATTTTTTTAATAATATCAAACATATAGCATCTTTTATTGCTCTTTACCTTTTGTTTAATAAATAAGCTTTACAAATAAGTCACATTTGTTTTGCTTCTAACTCTTCCTTTGCCTGATTTTGCATTATCCTTAATTTATGGACATGAGTGTAGTTACAAATTTCACTGGTAAGTTTAGGTAAGCAGCAATAGCAGCAGGAACTCCCAAAATTGATGCCATTCTTAGAAAGCAAGCAGGAAAAGGAGAAAAGGTCCAATTATTGATCCAGCAACGCGATAAAGAAGTACATATTTGATATCATCAAATAGACTATCTAGAGGTATAACTATATGTACAGAGGTTGTTAGAATTTTTTTAGAAGATGTAGATAACTGTTTCACTAAGAAAGACTGTGGAATAACCTTGCGAATTGGAAACTCTTCTTTTACAATATAGCCACAAAAAAGCTGCAATCTGAAGAATGAAGAATGAGGAGGCAAATGAATGTGAGTTTGAAAGGATTCAGAAGGAATAGTTTTCAGACAAAAAAAAGAAATAGTTGCATGATGCTAGTATAGTCCAATACACTGAATTTTCTTGAATGACTAACAAATTAAAAAGGCAAAGAAGGCCATCTATGAACTTTCATTAAGAATGAAATTATTCTCAAAACAATTGGAGAATTCGAATCAGAACAGTCAAATTGCAGACATCACAACTGAGTCTTTACCATCCCCTTTCAGCGGTGAACTAGATTTCGGGAAATATTTTTGGATAATATTGAAAAGGCTAAGGCAAAGCGAATGAAAATAAAGAACCACAAGCCTTTAGATATAAAAATGAAAATATACAAACAAGATTTCTACATGGCTTTTGAAGAAATAGAGAAATATCATGGTGCTTGCAAAACACCTCTATTAGAACTTATAAAAATCTATCCTGAAAAGTTAAAAGAAGTAGCCCTAACAGTAACAGCATCCTACTCAAATTAGTGTGGAAAGACTTTTCTCAGCTCTGAAGTTTATTAAATCAGATCTATGGCCCTCCAACAAAGAATATCTTGCCAAAGCTATAGTGTTTCTTTCTTAGAAGTAACTAATGCCAGTTTTTCCATTTCATAATAAATGCTAATTAATATAATAATTTGCTATCCCATAAGTTTTTTCTGTAGCAACTATTACTTCTTTTACATTAAAAAAAATAAGCTGTAACCCATGTGTATATGTTTACATATATATGAGGGAGTCTGAGTCAGAGTCTTTAAAATTCCAGGAGTCGGAGTCAGTCATTTTTCCTACTGAATCCCCAACCTTACCCAATGTAATAGCCACAATAGCATTTTTGTGAAGGAAAACATTACCCTAAGGAATTACTGTGTGAGTGTAGGAAGAGATGGCAGGACTAGTGCCTTTTTGATTAAGTACAATGCATGGGCATTGACAGCATAGGAAAATATGTCGAAGGATCTCATTTGAAAAGGTTTTAAAGTAACAGGCATCTTAAATGCAACAGATAGAACAGAAGATGATATATTGTCAGAAAACACACTATCAATAGAAAAAAACAAGAACAAAAACTACTGCTACATGCACATCTGCTTGTGACGACATCAACAGTGAAATCTGTTTTAGATAACATGTGTTTAAAATAGCTTATAAAAATGGTCAACAAACAAGTTTGGTTGTGAGGTTGTGAAAAAGAAAAACCTCACATGGTTGAGGTTTTTCTTTTTGTATCCATATTCAGTATACATAAGAACTATAAATATAGTTTCTTTATGGTTATTTCAGAAGCAAACAAATAATGCTAGATAGATGAAATGAATCAGTACTTCAGTTTGTCTCATTTTTTTTTTTTTTTCAACTGGAATGTAATACATAAGGTAAGATACAACTTTGCTTTTTTGAACTATTCTGTTATTTATAGTAAAAAGCTAAAATGAATTTTTTGGTTTCAAAGAAATAAATAAAGATGTTAAAATTTTGAGTAATTTGTGAAAAATTTAAGGCAATTGTGTTCTAGCTAATTTAAACATAACTGATTTTGACACAACAGAACATATTTTTTGCTTCTTGATTTATTCTATATTTGCTTCTTGATTCTAATATTATCAATGTAAAAATATACATTAAATATATGATTTTTCTAAAGACATTTTCTAAAATACAGTTTTGGAAAGACTGAAATGGAAAGAAAGAGAAACAAATGAAAGTGATAAACAATTGATTTAAGATTAAAAAAATAAATAAATAAATAAATAAAACATCAAAATCAGTTAAACCAGAAAAGGTAAAACTGTTTATTGTTGTGAATAAAAATTAATTACAAACTCTTATCATACTTATGAAATTTAACACATTTCAAACATGTGTTAAATTTCATGAGTATGATAAGAGTTTGTAAAACATGATATATTGTTACCATTTTTGTAATTAGTTTCCTATTTTTAGTAGAATGGAAAAATAAAATTGTTCTATATCCATGTGCAATACAGCAACAGACTTATTTGAAGAGACAGCTATGCCGGAAAAGTTAAAACACAAAAGCATGCACATTTAACATTTAATAAATAGATATCTCGTAATTGTACTCTTTTGCATCCATAAAATCGAGAAAATACCAGAATGTTCTTGTGCATGATTAAAAAGCTTATAAAAGCTGGATCAAAATATCTCAGTTCAGTTGCTTACTTAGTGCTGTTATTGATTGTAGCGAATTTGCGGTGAGATCGGATTAGCTTTCTCTGTATTCTTTCTGTATTTAACGTTTTAGTAGTTTAAAATATAACTACTGTGAGATATTGTGATATTGTACAAATATCTCTGAGAAAATTTCAGCATTTTGTTTTATTTCTTGGGATAAGAATAATTTTATTAACTTTTTATCAACTTGTGCATTCAATCCATTACGAACCCGTACGCACACAACAGTATCATTAAATCTTTTTATTTTAAAACTGTTCTCATGATACAGGTGTTAATTCATTAATTTAAAAATTATACTTGTGTTACAGTAAAGATATCCTTTTAAAAATGTTACTGTAAATATATCCCTGTCATTAAAATGCTATTGTAAATATATCAATATTTTTAAAGAATTCCAACCAGCTAAATACTTTAAATGGATTATTACATGCTTGGATTGGTTTTAGAAAATCCAAATGGTTTCAACATCTAAATTATGTTCATTTGCATTAGTGTTACAACATATTTAAGATTATAAACATAAATTAAGAACTATGTACATAGTGCATTAATAAGTTTTTTACAGATACTTTTCAATTTCATTTCTATAATTTTCTTGCTCCTATCATTTAACTTCTCAGATCTTAAATTAATGACAGTTCAATTGCAAATTTCCTTTTTTGCATACAGAATTTAGGCATTCACATTCTCGAGTCTCTTTTTTTATTACAATGTTGACTTGTTTGAAATTTTCATAATTTAAATGAATAATGGTTTCAAATGTGTTTGTGTACAGTTTTTCTAATTTTTTCTTTCAGTCACTTTGTTTTGTATTTTTTACAATTTAAGTTAGGTTGTTTTTAAATTTTATTATTATTTTCTATGCTTGTAATTCATAGAGATGGCATGTAAATGTGACTCTTGAGATTATGAGACCATTAGAAATATAATTTTACAAACAAACAAAAACAATTTGTTAACAACAGTTGCAATAACAGTTTGTAACAACAGAATTCTTCCCGACATTAGTTGGGAAGAATGCTGTTCGGCATTCATTAATTGTTTGAGTTTAATGGTTTGAATACTAATCTCCTTGATAATTTCTATTTGAAGCATTAAGTACATGGTAATTAATAGTTTACCAGTATTGCTACCTTTTTTATTGTCATTATTTTTTAAAATTTAATTAGTTACAAAAATTTTTACTTTTTCTAGTTTTAATACCACTTTTATCAAATAGATTTGATAAACTAGTTAAAGCTTTAATAACACTTTTATCAAATCGATCTGATAAACTAGTTAAAGCTTTAATAACACTTTAACTAGTTTATCAAATCGGATCTATGGCCCTCCAACAAAGAAAAGCTTGCCGAAGCTATACTGTTTCTTAGAAATAACAGTATTGCTACAATTTTTATTGTCATTATTTTTTTTAAATTTAATTAGTTACAACAATTTTTACTTTTTCTAGCTTTAATAACACTTTTATCAAATCGATTTGATAAACTAGAGAAAGCTTTAATAACACTTTAACTAGTTTATCAAATCGGATCTATGGCCCTCCAACAAAGTAGAGCTTGCCGAAGTTATACTGTTTCTTAGAAATAACTAATGCCAGTTTTTCCATTTCATAATAAAAAGACTGGTTTACATCTTCAAAAAATTTTTTCCACTTCCTGCAACAAGACACAATATATTTGCCATACTCATTTTTCCTCAGATAGAATAAGCTATTTAAAAAATTATTTCTTTTGAACTAAAGATTTATATATATATATATACACATACAGAGAGAGAGAGAGTGTATGTGTATATATATATAGTATATGTAAATGCATGCCCCTATATACAATGCAAGGTTTGTGCAAAATAAATGTGTGTGCATTTATATTTATAAAGTGATGAACAACAAACCTGTGATAATTATGTGTATGTGTTGTGTGTGTACATATATATATATATTATATGTAAACACATGCCCCTATATACAGTGCAAGGTTTGTGCAAAATAAATGTGTATGCATTTATATATACACACACACATACACATTTCTTTTTCTCCCCCTGTCCCCGCCAAATACAGGGCACATTGCATTGTATATTTTTCTCTTTCCCTAAGGTGAAAAAATATGTAGACATAGCTTTCATTACAGCATTTGCTAGGGTATCAAAGTGAGCCAATTAGTAATGGCAAATGAAATGGAATACTATTTTTTGAAAATGAAACAAAGCAAATAAACCTGGAATACAAGAAAACAAGCAATCTCCACTACAAAGCAAGCTCAAAGCTGCATCATGAACTAAACAACTTTTGTTTAATAAATTCTTTGAAGAAAGTAACATATTCATTGACCCATGCATCAAAGAGCAAAACACTCAACAACTGCAGACCATTATCAAAAACAAAAGATGAAAGATGAGCGATTGAATTCTAGCACCCGATAACTCTTAACGACACGTTTTCCATTAAACAATATTTTTTTTTTGATGAAATTTCACTAGGAGGAGCTTACGGCATTTGCCTTACAGTTGGATTATATAGGTCTTGCTAATGGTAATTACTTTTAACTGGTACATATATGCACTTTTTCATTTGACCAGATAATATACTTTCAAAACTTTTACAAGTACAGCAGCTTATTGATTTTACTGTTAAAAAACGAAAACCTATTTTAGAACATTAATCAAAATATTGATAATAATAATAAAGAAGTTTAATGGAAGGAAAAAATACTTCTTTTATAAACTGATAATCATAAATTTGGCCATCTGCAGGAAATGGGATTTCAAAAATCAAATCTGTTGCATGAACTCCACCATCAGGCAATCTGCACATTTGATAAGTTTCTGGTGATAATTTACCCTAAAAAGTGAAAAGTATCAATTATAGTAATAACAATATTATTTGAAAAAGACAGACAAAAAAAAAAAAAAAAAAAAAAAAGGTTAATTAAATAAATTTCTCATTTATATATCATCAAGTATCAAGTCCTTTACAATTAATAATGAAATTTACAGCTTGTTGGAAAGGAACTTCTTTACTACGTAACAAAAGAGAGATAGAGAAACTCAATTTAAGAAGAAAAAGTTTCCATATTTCCTTTTTCTCTTCACATAATTTCCCCTATTATTTTTTAATTAATATTATATATATGATGCACCGCCCAAATACTTACATTAAAACTGAAATTTTGTATGGTATGTATCGAATCCAAACTTCTGGAAATATTTTTTGCAATAAAAAACCTTTATTGATACTGAAAATACTGTCAATCTCCACAATACTTAAAAATTGTCCAATGCTTCAAAACCATTAATGGAATAAAATATTTATGACATTGAACAAGTAAACAGAGCTATTAAATTTCATTTAAGATTTCAGTCAAAAATACATTATTACAAATACAAGTTTAATTTTTAGAAGCTCTTTTCTTCTTTAATGTAACTTTACAGTATATCATAATTGAATAAACTATGAAGCAGGTTGATTTCCTTTTACCTTCCCATTTAAGAAATCTAAATAACGTTAAAACTTATTAAAATTTTAACACAGAATTATAATTTTACTTGATAAATGACCAGCAGGCAAGAAAAAGAGAAAATAGAAGGGGCTGACAAAGATAACTATCATAGATATTTATAGCTAAGGTACTAGGGTATGAATTTAATATAAATTTTCTGCATCCTTTTGGTGTTAATATTTTAAAATAATATCATGCATTTATTCTCTTAAGGAATTTCAGCTTACACAGATGAGGATGAAATACAACAGAAAACACAGATTAGGAACTGTTGGCAAAGTAACACTAATCAGATCAGAATTATTTTTCTGCTAAACTGCAATACAAAAATGTTCATAGAATGAATGTATTCATTGCAAAGCTTTGCAACTAAAAAAGAGAGCAAATTAATTAATATATATGTATATAGCATAAGAATGTATGGATAGAACACAAACGGCAATCCACTAAGTGGCCTTTTAAATAGTATAAAAGGGTCGATCCTCGGACTCAGCAGCATTTTCTACTGTGATTTGCCAAGAGAATGAAACAAAGGTTATATGAACCATGAAATGGCCAATATGCATTTTGTGTATGGCTTGGGGGACAGGAATGCATGTGAGGCACAGAGACTTTACTGGGACCGATTTCCGATAAGATGCACTTCAAATTGGAAAACATTCGAGCATTTGTATCCCAACAGCTGTGTGAAACAGGATACTTCACCACAGCCAAGCAAGACTCAGGGTGTGAAAGGAGGGTCAGGACACCGTAACTTGAAGAAGATATTCTGCGTAGGGTGAATGATCAACCGGGATGTAGCATGTGAGTGATTTCCCTGTGCTGTAAACATGTCCCAAATCCACCAAATGATGATTTGCTGTGTGCTACAGAAGAAAAGAATGCACCCCTATTGTAGACAGAAGGTCATCAGTGGACTATCAACCACATGTCGATTTTGCATGCTGGTACCTCCATCAGAATGCAGAGCAGCCAGATTTCGGTGCACATGTTCTGTTATGGACGAGTTCTATTTATGAAGAAGTTGTGATGGGGCATGCGGTTTCATAGATGCCCATGTGTGTGAGTTGTGGGTATTAGAAACACCTATAAGGGTGTTTTTTATACCCACAACTCACACACATGGGCATCTACGAAACCGCATGCCCCATGTCCTCATTCATTCCAGTGGTAGTTCTCCATAAATGTTTGGACAGGGATGCTTCCTGACCATTTGGTTGACCCATAACTCATGCCTTCTATTGTTTGTATGACTTGCTTTACTAAAAGAGAGAAAAATGTGACAACTTGCTCAGAGTTACCTAAATGGTGGATGTGAGCCAAAGCTGATAATACAAACAATTATTTAAATTATACTTTTTGATATTATTCTTTAAATGAAAGTTATAATATTCAGGATTTAAAAAGAGGCAAATAATGAAAACATAAAAGAGCAAAAGAATGAAATTAATATACATGTTTTTAAAGGATTGTTTGATTGTTGTGGTAGATACTTTCTAAATTCCATTGCGAATCAAAAAATAAAAATGGTTCACATCATGATTTACTCATAAATTCTGCCAATGATTAAGTTAGAAGGAAACGAAAAGCTTTGATACACAAGTAGTTTTTTTTATTTTTATTCATTTATTTTTTATTTACTAGGATAGGAAATTTTGCAATTGAAACTGTATGTAAAGTTAGAGGCTAGCAGATTTGAGTTTGGAGAATTTATGAAAGAGAGGAACACTTAATGAAGATAAAAGTGGTAATCACTTTTACATGTACTGTTTATATAAATAACAAAACATTTTAAACATTTCTGAAATTTTTTTACATTATTTCACGACTTTTATATAAGATAAATACACAGATACATTTTGGTCTTCAATTCATCTAAAATTTAAAATTCTATACAGTAATAACAATATATGCAAAATTTTGAAAATGATTACTTAAAACTATATTATCAAATTATTCTGTGATTAGCAACATTTAATCTGACCATTAATACAACAGAATGCCTATACAGTAAGACCCCGCTTAACGCGGGGGGATACGTTCCATCAAAGTAGAGCGTAATGCGAAACAGCGCTAAACGAGGCTATCTTTACATGTAAATATTGGGGTTAGGGGAAAATGGCTAGGAAATTGGTTAGGTATTAAATTTAAAAAGTATGTTTTTTTATTAATAAAAATAAAACCAAACATTTATTTCTTAAAGCCCAAATTAATACCACATTATTATTTCTTGCAAAAATAAAAACAAAATATAAATAACAAAAACGAATATTCTTAAAAAAAAAAAACAAATAAAATTCTATGTCAGTCATATTTAGTTAGCCTTCCGCGTTTTCAGTGTTCTGCCTTTTTGTGACAAAAGCATCTAATGTTGTTTGCCTTTTTCTTTTTGCGTTGTTCTCTTAAAAGTTCTTCATAAACGGATAGAGCATCTCTAACACCACGCCTTACTTTGAGCTCCTGTCAAAAAAATTCGGATCATTTTCAATGAATTGATCCATTATTTCAGTTATGGTAGACAAACTCCTTTTACAAACGCCATCGAAAGTTCTTTTTTTTGCTCTTCTTCTGAATCACTGCTGTCAACATTTTTGTTTTCTTCTTGTTCAGTTTAATTCCTTGAGCTCATCATTAGAAAGACTAGCCGCTGCTTCTTGAATTATTTCTTCGACATCTTCCACATTTACCCCTTCAAAATATCTCTGTACAATACCGCACCAAACAAGAAATACAAGTACACTCTTTCGGATACGTATTTGAAACCTATCGCTGCATAATATTTCGCGGAATCACCGTATGCTGCGAGCGATTTCATGGAATCCCCGGGTTGAAATAAAAGAGCGCTAAACCGAAACAGCGCTAAACGAAACAGCGTTAAGCGGGGTCTTACTGTACTAAGTAAATCTTGCCAATGAACTGATGCAATCTGAAGAAATATTTATTAGCAATATGTATAATGTTTTTAGCATTTATGCAATACTAACATATGAGAATAAAGAAATTATTTCTTCATCTAAAGCAGCATTTCTTAAACTGTGGGTTGCGACCTGCAGCAAGGAGTCAACAAAAAGTTTAGCAGATTTGATATTTCTTAAACTTATAATAATTTTACAATTACCAAATATTTTTATACAGCATATCTAAAAGTAGATAAAGATAAGCTAATACAGACAAAGAAAAAAGGAAAACGTTTTGATGCATTCTTTTTATAATATAAACATTCATTTTACTTGCTTTGCACTAGATGCTGTCATTTCGACTGTTACTTATTTAAAATTTTCACATTGCTCTGTGTCTTAAAATTTGAAATTAAAGTTAATGACCTAAAACTGCAATAGTATATTACAGTACAAGTGAAAACATTGGCAGTTTCACACACGCATGTGTCGGATTTGCGCAATGCTTATTGGGTACCACATAATTTTCTTAAATATTATGGGGGTCTTGGGGTCGCGAAAAAAATCTGTGAGAAAAAGCGGTCACAACTCAAAAAAGTTTAAGAAACCCTGGTCTAAATTAAAGAGATTAATGAAAGAAAGCTAGTTTATTTTTTCAAAAGACTGCACAAATTTATTTTTAATGTTAATACTCACTGACAAAAGTTCCCTAAATATCATATCTAATTCAACACGAGTTTCTTCATTTGTTGTAGCACACAGGGACCATGTAGCAGCAAAAAAGAAGCAACACTATGAAACAGATTAAAATTTTAAAAAAATACACAAACACATGATCTTTGGGAATAAGTTTTAAATATGAGTAAAAGATTAAAAAAAAATTAGGTACTTAAGTATTAGAAAAACCACTCCTGCACATTTTGGCAATATTTGGCAGATACAAAAGAATGATGAGTTACAGCTGCAAAATTTATTTATTATATGCAGATTTTATGTTTTACTAATATTTATTCCAAAAAATCAATCAATAAGATTACTTAAAAGCGGGTTTCTATTTTCTTTTGTTCTCATGGAAATTTTGTGGTGATCATTTAACATATTCAATGTGATTGTTCAATTTAACAGTTTTGCAAGAAGATACTGTATTTCTACAGAAATGTTACTGTAATGTTTTTTACTGCATGCAAATACCAAATGTGTCAGTTTTAAAACTGACTTTAAGAACAAAAATATATTATGATTTATGAAAAATATATCATATTTATCTCTAAAAACCATTGAAATTTTATATAAAGTAAAATAAAAATAGGCAACATTATACATTAAAACTGAAGAATTGTTGTATGCATATTTGTCACAGTTTGGTGCATTCTTAGCATTTGATGACTTCTTCTAAGGTGGATATAAGTATCTAAAATGTTATAAACCAGAAAAAAAGTTAAATGTAGATAAAATACATTCATCAAATTTATATTAATAAACTTCTGTTTTGGGTTACTATACAAACCATATTATTTACAAAACAGAAACATCAATATTTTATTGTGCTTAAAAATAAATTATTTATTTGAAAAAATGCTTAGTCTTATTTCAAATTAATGCAGTTTTACTATGAAGAAGGGGCAAATCAAATGTCTGCAACATATGAAAACTACTTACAGTCATACTTATCTTATATTTTGAAAACAAAAAAGTTAAATTAAAAAACATAAATTGTTTAAATTTTTCTACTTGATATAAAATGATAAATTTATTAGTATACAGCATTTTATGAGATGGCAGAGCCACCATGTAAGTAACATGTATTTAACAAACTTCCATTTTATGAATGATTTTTATGGATGAATATGTTCACAAGAATAAAATATTTCTATATTAAATTTCAATATGAATCCAAAAAATAAAAAAAAAAAAGGAAACACAAAATTTATGAATAACATTAAAGTGATATTTTTCTAATAAAACTGACCTAAAATAAAATTTAAGCTTTGCAGCTTCAGAATATTAAAAATCTACTTGTTGGCTCATAATGTAGAATATTGTCAGTTCACAACAAAATATTTTAATTGGACTAATATGTCAGATTACCATAGCCCAGGACTTTCTATGATAGTTAAAAACAATATATGTTAAAATAGTTTTTGACATAATTGTATGAAAATAATAAAAGAAATTTTGTTTTTAATATCAATATAACTTTCAAAAAATGTTTCTATCACCATTTTCGAAAGAAGATATATTTATGCATGGACATGGATCCTTTTTTAATCTAAAAAATCCATTAAAACTTTGAGTTTATAGTGTTAAATTCTTCACACCAAATTAATTAAGGAAAGTTTTATGGCACTTAAAATTTTCCTAAATATGCAAAAAAATTCTTTGATACATAAAGATCATTTATTATAACAACATTTCATTTGAATTTTGCAAAAATTTATCTTAAATATTTGGAAATTCGTATGCTATAAAAAATGTTTTAGTACCAAAAGAAGAAATATACGGAAAAATTTACAGATCAGTTAACAGGAAAACAGTGATTAAGAAGCACTTTATTAGTATTTTCAGTACATTTATTCACTCACAAGCAGTTATATCATTGCAGAGATATCAAACTTCAATTAAATACTGCAAGAACTTACAATGACAGCAAAATTAGCATATATTTTTTTTAAAGGGTATTTGCTTTTTTTGTGTGTATGTGTGCCAATTGATGTTACCTAAAAAAATTTAAATTCACTAATCTTACTTAAAAAATTTTATTTCTAAAACTAAATTGAATATTAGTGCACAAATTAATAACCCAAATTAAAAATGTTTCAATTCATGTATACTTCAGGAATACTTTAACTAAAAATTCAAAAGAAAATACCCATTGATAATTAAAAATCTAGCTGTTCATAAGTAATACCATGCATCCATTTCTGCTCTAATGAAGAACAGTGAAAACAATTTATTTATAGTTACCAGATTTTGAACAACTTCCGACACAGTTCTCTTAGCAAGCTGATTACACCTCATTTTTTTTTTTTTTCAGAATGCAGACTTAATCAATCATTTGCAATCAACAAAAAATAAATAAATGAATTAAATTATGATCAATATATAAAAGAGGTTCAATAATAAATTCAGGTATAAAATTACCATTTTGATGTTCAAAAAAATATGAGCTCTAGCGAAATAAACACTTGAAAGTTGTATTTTATGGATACTGGTAATATTTTAATGTCTATGCATAATTTAAGTATAAATATAACTTTTCAATTTTTAAGTAATTAATGAAATGACAATACCCAAAAGCACAAATAAAGTATTACAACAACAGTAAGTTAAATGTAAACAATGTTTAAGATTATTATAAATTTCCAATTCTATAGATGAATAAAGAGCAAACTACACTGTTCCAAAATTAGAATAAGCTTCAGAAATTATGCAGGTCCTGGATTCAACCAGACCTTAAAACCAGAGTTTAAGGAAAAATTACAGAAAAATATTCAGCAACTTTCTGCTTTAAATTTAGATACTAAGTTTATTCTCCAGAAATACAAAATTTTTTTCATTTTCTTTTCTGAAATCTTATAAAATGCACACATACTTTCAAGAATATAAAAACTTGCATTTCAGGCATTTTCTGAATCCAAGAAAAACCATCAAATAAACAGTCTAGTAGATTCATCAAAGATTTAATACGATTTGCATCAGTAGTAGGAGAAAGTTCCTATTAAATAAAATGCAGTATTTCATTGGACATATTTTTACTTTTTACTAAGAACAAGGTTTATTATTTAGTCCAAGGTTTAAATTTAAGGTAATAAGGAATTAAAACAAATTTAAAGAATAAAGATTAAGGGAAAAATCAAAAAATCCCAAAGCAACAGCAGCACAAATTTTTAGAGAAGAGGAATGATGATACTCACAAATCTAATAGCATAAAAGTACCTATACCTTCACTAGTTGAATTAATCTTTACATTTTACAAACATATTTATAGACAATACTATCTCAGAGAATTTTACAACATCCTCATTTTTAATAAAAGCAAAGAATTCTTGTAAGTATTTATTCTCACTAACACATCAATAAATTAAAATAATAACTTTAAACTATTCATAATGTACTATTCTAAGTTTTATGTAACTAACATCATGGCAAAAATATGAATCTAGCTTTTGTAGCTGTTTTCATTTAAATGTATTTTTATATTCTGCTTTATGTTTTACACTATGTTAATACAGAAAGTTACATCTTTTAAGTGAAAAATATATACAAAATATTGTAAAGACATAACTTGGTTTTTTTCTCAAAATACAGATGATGAAGATTGATGGTTTTAGTGTAGTGCCAATAATTGGCTATCTTTTTATGCTTGTGTAATGCATATCACATTTCTGTTAACTACCTATAATACACAGGTGGTTTGGTGTGATGCAGATTATAACTTTTAAAAGCAGAAATATTCATAAATTAATAGAAACTATATTAAATATATAATATTCCAATTTGATTAGCATTTTAATTAAAAGTAATAATTATGTAAAAAGAAATTATTGCACTGAGAATAGTCATATAATAATGTAGTATGGTTACTGTATAATTTTTCTCACAAGTGCTGAAAGAAAGTTTCATGTATGTTAATGGGCTCACACGAGGCCGAGCGGTAAAGTCGCTGAACACTGGTAGTTCGGTCCGAGGTTCGAATCCCGCGAACGGGCTGGCTGCATGGGCGTTTTCGTGGTTTTCCCTATGTGTAACGTGTAGTTTCCCTTAGAAAGTCCTCCACGAAGGCATCCCTTCCCTTAGGCAGATAGCCCTCGTGTGCTTTGTCATAATTAAATACACTAACACCAACACCATGTATGTTAATGTATATTTCAGATACTGAAAGTTTAACTTTTGTATGGTCACTAAAAAAATAGTATCAAAATTATCCTCATAAATCAAATGCAAAATTTTGGAAATAAATGTATTAAATTGTTGTAAGCAATTAATCTTTAACTGTTGCAAAAACCTATGTATGCCATCTTCAATAAGATTAGGATGTGACTTTATTTACTTAACTAATATCTAATCTTTCTGTCATTTAATTTAAAAGGACTTTGTGATATTAAAAATACAGTCAAAAGTCGTTAATTCGGACACCCATAATCCGGAATGATCTATAATCCGGACCTCAAAGCTACAAACTTTCTGCGCATGCGCCGCGTTCACGCATGCGCACAGGCATTTACGAGAGCGCGTAAGACCCTTACGGCTGCGAATTTGTTTGTGCGCATGCGCGTTTAATGTGTAACGGAGTTATACGCTAAGCTAAAGTTATCTAATTCAGTTAATGATGCAGATTGCGTTGTTCCTTAATCTTCGAATTGGATCCGGCTTATTATTTTTTGCAGACTGTTAGAGCAATTTTATAAAAGTAAGCTTGAACTTTCGATTATGTCAAATAGAATTTCCGATATATATTTACTACAAAGCGAAAGTATGTTTTGAAATCCGAAATCTGTTTATCAATTTCACGCTGCTCTGCGGCAGGCAGAGGGGGGGGGGCAGAAAGAAAATTAATTAGAGATTATGATAGATTAGAAAGATTATGTCAAATAGAATTTCCGATATATATTTACTAATATGTAATTTGTATCTACAAAGCAAAGTATGTTTTGAAATCCGAAATTTGTGTTTATCAATTTCACGCCGCGGATTGGAAGTTGATCTCTGAGCACTATCCTTATCTTCAGGGCAGATTGTTTTTATTTTATTTGGTTTATAATTCCGTACTAAGTGTAGTATTTCATCTCGATGTACTCCGTCTTTGATATGATTTAAATCAAGTTCCTCGTCATTATAATTCGCTTCCGATAGTGAAGAAAGTGACCCAGAGGTTATTGAAACGAAAACATTTCGATTGACAAATTAGTCGGTATTCTCAACACAGCATTATAGGACTTGAACAGCGGAACTTGTAACGAAACAAGAAATTATGTCTGTTTAATAGAATTAAAGAGAAAGTATTATCACATGAAACGAAGCAACTTACATTGAAGGAAAATGTTTAATAAAGTAAACAAATAAATATTAAGCTTTTTCTTTTTGTAAATTTTGATACCCTTTAGATCATAATTGTTCTTTATTTCATAAATTACGGTTTCATATTTTTAATTTTGTAATTTCTGCATGCCATCTTACCAGATTTAAACTGATGATCTATAATCCGGAAAAATCGATAATCCGGAATCGATGAAGTCCCGACGAGTCCGGATTAACGACTTTTGACTGTACTGAATAAAATTCTAAAGAAAATAGACTTTTCTCACCTTTGTAGGATAACTCGAGACATATGATAAAAGAGGAGGGCAAAAGTAAAGAAAAAGTTTTACAATTAATTCTTTATGTGCATCATTAATTGATAGTGGAAGCTCATTTAACCAAGAAATTAGCATTGGTTCCCAACCTAATGAAGTTGGTTCCATGTAAATCATTCCACATCTAGAAACCTATAAATTGTAAAGAAAAAGCAGTAAAATATTTGATATGAACATTAAATTTACTTCTTTCTAAAATAATAATTAATTTACATTAATAGCAAATGTTTTATATCAAAAAGGATAATATATAAATTTAATGAAACTATCTAATTAGAATGTATGAACCTGTTTTAGATAGTACTTCTGCATGACTAAGAAGTTTTAGTAAGTTTTTAAGATAGTTTTATGTATCTGCATTTGTTACATAAGTATAAAATAAAAATAAGCATAAAACAAATTTTGCCTACTAACCTGAAAAGCAGGAAAAATAATAAAGATAATTATTTATGAATTACTTAAAAGTCTGTCTAGGTATTAAGGAACTAACCGCAGATTAGAAGGTATAACTCAATTTAATCTCAGTAATTATTTTTAATAGTTGATCAGTAATACATCTAACTCTCTGAAAAACTTAAATGCATATTATTAGGATAAAATACAATTTGCTCTGGCATAAAATAAGAATTAAGTCAAATAAATAAAAATTTAGAATTAACATTTTCTTTTATTTACAATATTAAAGAGAGAAAAGTGATACTATTCCATTAGAGCAGCATCAGTTAAAATTGTTTGGCCACCAGTCATTGTCAAGTATAAAATTATGAAATAACAATAGAATTCGAAAGAGTTAAAAAAAATAGTTCTGTAAAAAGTAATTAATTTTTTTAAAATTTTCTTCATTCTTAAAGAAAGTAAATTTTTCTTTTTAAATATTTAACTTAGATTATTTCACACATAAATAAAAAATAACAAAATAAAAGGAAATTCAATCTAAACAGGTGGCATAAAATTACAAATATCATTCAACATCACAGAAAAAATTTCAGTTTTTGAATATAACTAATGCCACATAAATTCTATCAAATATGACTCTATATAATGATCAGCAGTGCCCTGCTAACAATTAGTTCTCCACTTAACGCTGTCCAACAACCACTCCACAGTTTGGGTATGACATAGAGTTTCATGGTCTATAAAATTATAACTGTGATTCACAGGGAAATATTCATATCCAGCATTTCTTAATTAGTCTTTCTTATGTTCTTTTCAGCTGTCTGAAAATATAGTGGTGTTTTTCTGAATGGCAGTCATCAACGTTGTAGCAAAATGATTGGGAATGGCAACCAGAAAACATTCTTTGCTTTCCCTGCCTACCACTGTTCAGAAAGAATGCATATTCTTTCCGTTGTTTTTTCTTTTTGTGAAGAAACTTTTGTCTATTTCTACGATTTTGTTGGCTCCACCAGTTTTATTTCTTTTACAAGACATCAAACTATTTGCACATACCTTCCACAAGTAGTTATTCCAATCTATTGTCATATTATGGCTGATTTCTAACTGAAATTGACCAAATTCAATTGATGTCAATTTCTGATACCACACATAGATAAAACAAATGGCACTGAGGAAAGAAAGACAGGAGCCTTAAAACCATGTTTTGGTTCTTAATCCTTTTTTTCACAGTAACAATGTCATATAGGAGGATTGTTTGAGTCAAAAGTTAACTTCATCAGATGCTTTTGAGAACAAAGTCTATTGCTATGAATTATTCCTTTGTCCTGAAAGAATCTCATGGCAGCCTCTTTGTCCTTAGGTAATTGCCAAATTGTGTAATCTATCGTACTAAAAATGACAAAAAAAAAAAAAAAAAAATAACAAGTGATGATATTTCAAACAAAAGCTAGAAATCTTCAGCAGGTTGTTGGTGCATTTTTAACTGATGCCGCTCTAATGAATCGTATCAAAAAGTTTAATAAAGAGAATCTTACAGTAGCTGGTGATGCAGCTTCCAAATCCATAGGTTCAAAAATTAAATTTGTTGTTGGTGCCAACTGAATTATTTCTCCACTCATCAAGCATAATTTTTTGTTATCATCAAGCACAGTGTTCATGTTTTCAATCCAAATAGCATCCACAGGACCATCAAAAATCAACCATTTGCGATCTGGTGTCTAGAAGATCCCATTTAGAAAAACTCATTTTGAATAACCATTTTTGTAGATAATATAAACAAGATAAATGAATTATTTTAATATTAATTCAACTAAAATATGTAATATTAACTCAAAGTCTTTCATAAGACCCTATTAGACAGTCAAGTGAGGCATCAGTATTTTTGGAATAATATAAACAAGATAAATGAATTATTTTAATATTAACTCAACTAAAATATGTAATATTAACTGAAAGTCTTTCATGATACCCCATTAAACTGTCAAGTGAGGCATCACTCTTTTTGGAATATATGATTAAATCTTATGAAGGTTTGAAATAAACCATTTTCTTTAAGCTTGAATGGAATAGAAGACCTTGGGTGTACAATCAAAACTCTGCCAATTGTAGGAATTAAAATAACATAAAGTTGAATTTATAATGTAATATAATATTTTAAAAAATTAATCTAAAGGCTATTTACATAAAGTTGATTTGAACTTAAAAGGATGAAATAAAATAATTACACTCAAAAACTGCAGTTGCTCTTAATATCTTCATATCTATGTTAATTCTAAAATAGCCAATAAATAATCTGAGTGTTTTGATCAAGAAGTCATATAATTATTTTATTTCATACTTTTTAGTGTCAATCAAGCTTACAGAAATAGCCTTTAGATTAAAAAAAATGTTCATATTTTATTTTGAAATATATTAAGCATCGTTTTTTTGTATTTATTAAGAAACTGTAATTTCACTCAATTTTAATTAAATTTTGCTTAATCAATTATTTTTTGGAAATTCTTATTGTTTTGTTTATATTTAACATCCAATTCAGGAAGCAGTTTTCAGCGTGGCAGTTATACTTTATCAGCTAGTAGCACCATTATCTATTATCAGATATTGCATGAGTCCTTTTGCAAGAAGCTATTGCCCATAAGCAGATTTGGAAGAACATAGTTTTATGATAGAGATTTGTACATTAAAAATAGCCTTTAAAAAGCGATCATAGCCCAAGACTGATAATTTAGTCTAACTAAGCAGGCTCAACTTTAATGATTTGACTTAATTTCAGCTAGCAATTGATTAATGCTGGAATATTAATGAGTAGACCTCAGTGACGGAAAGTAAAGCTGCGAATATCATTGCCAAAAGATACATATCTAAAATTTTCAAAACCGTCACCTTTAATTTCATTAACCTCAAATTTTAAAACTCTTTAATCCCTTTGCATCCTGGTGAGGGCTAATATAAGGAAGTTACAGTAAAGATCTGAATCATAAAAAGCAAATTTTGAAAGGTTATAAGGTATTTCTCCCATCTTCTTGGCATGCCTTCGTGGCGTGGTGGTCTGTACACTAGGCTCATATTCAAGAGGTCCATGGTTCGATTCCCGGCGAAGGCATTGCTAATTTTTCAATCTCTCTTGCTTCCAAAAAAATCCTAATGGTTCTACAGTGGCATCCAAACTAAAAGGGTATTGGATGATGATTCTCCACACCCAGGATTTGGCGATTGGGTCCCCTAAAACCCCAGTCGCCCTTTAAAAGGGAGAGTATATAAGGTATTTCTCCAGCCTTCTTGGTGTGGTGGTCTGCATGCTGGGCGCGTATTCCAAAGGTCCGTGGTTCAATTCCCAGCAAAGGCGCTGCTAATTTTTCAATCTCTCTTGCTTCCCAAAAAATCCTAATGGCTCTATAAGGTATTTAACGTAAAATCCCTTTTAAAATTTGCTAACTATTAAATTGACAAGTTAATCAAAAGCAATAATTAATGAAATTCTCTTTTCCTCTTTATTAGAAACTGGATATGAAAAATTTCACTTGCTTTGGATTCAGTTCAGCATCGGCCACCTGGTACATGTTTTTCTTATCTTATAGTTTCATATGCTTGTATTAAATTAATAGCAATTAAAATTTATTATATGCATGGAAGTAATTTTAATTGATATTAATTTAATGCAAGCATATAAAACTAGAAGCTAAAACATGAGCTTTTTTTTATAAACTTTCTATGTAAAACTAGAAAGTAAAAATTTGTAGATGAAATATAGCTAACAAGATTTAACAAAATTTGGCTTTACAAATCTCTTTACATGTGTTTGAATAGCACTAACTTACCATAGACTGTGCAAAATCTCTGTAGCTAACAGCTAAAATGCCATCAGACCATTCATGAGACACTGGATCAAACTGTCCATATAGCTGACCCATAGTTATTGATTTGGGGTTTATAACAATAATTTGAACTTTATTTTCATCCATAAGACCCTAAAAATATCCACAAACATAATTTTATTTGGACTTGAAGCCAAGCTATTTAAAATGTATAAAATATTACTATACATTTTACTAATACATGTTTTAATTCAATCAATGTAATTTAATAGGAGAATGCATGAAAAAATACAGACAGAAAACATGAGCATTAGTGACAGTGAGTTACTACTATAAAATTCTTTAAAGATATCGATTAAAAAAAAACAGTTCACTAAATACTAAGATAATTATACTTTTATACTGCTTATGATAAAACCTAAAAATGCTTCAAAATGAACATTGAAATACATTCAAATGCAGATTGAACCTAGAAGAAGCATATTAGTGCAAAAATTATTTATAAAATTGAAATAATCTTTTCAATAAAAAAGGGCTTTTCCATTAACCCTTTGACATGTGTGACATTATTTTTATAATTTTTCAAACTAAAAACTCTAGAAATTGAATATTATGATCCTACAGACAAATAATATATGAATTTAAAAAAATTTACTCTTGCCCATTGTTCTGTGGTTGGTGGTTGCACTGTAAAATCACTGCATGTCTAGGACTTTGAAACTTACTGAGGTAGTAGCGGAAAAAAACTTACCTGTTTCCGTGCGGGTTTCCAATAAATGACGAAATTAACGAATTTAAAAAAAAAAGTTATGTAAGAATTGCATTATATATAATTTTTTAACATTATTCTACAATGTAAATTGTGAGAAAAAAATAGAAAATAAACATTTATGTAATTTTTCTATAGCAGTGAAAATATAAGTAACTACATAATAAGGACGCTTGGCTAAATGGATTAAAAAACTCAGTAAAATAAGGATAAAAAAGACTCAGTGTTTTTTTTTTTTTTTTTTATAAATTTCAAAGAACAGCTTCTTTTTGTGACACTGTTCAAAACATGTTTTGTCTTTTTGGCACATGCATAGACTGACATTGCACGTTTCACACATGTATCTTGTTCTATGAGGTTTCTTCCTTGTGCTACAAAATGTACACTGCCTGGATCTAAATTTCAGTGGTATATGTTCAGAGTTATTTAGTTTTTTTCACCAAGCACATGAAATTTGTAGTTTTTTTGTGTTAATGGGAGGGGGGCTTGGTCTTTTTGGCTTTGGTACAGATCATTCGTTTCCCATTCATACTTATTTTATTCATATTTCATCCCAAAACATTCAGAAGATATTTTTTAATTAAATAAAACTTTGCACGATTTCTATTTTAAATTATAGCAAAGTATATTTACATTTAATTTAAACCACTGGAAATAATTTATAAAATCACAATACTAGCTTGGGGAGCAAGTGTGTTGAGGTCAAAGAAAAGTCTCTGGAGAAGAAAGACCTTTTTACTGAGCAGGTGCATGTATTGTTTAGTAATAAAATAACTCTGTGGTTTCAAATCCCCTTTATCTATACCCAGGTAAAAATAAACATTTGAACGCCATTGTGAAGGGCGGTGGTTTCAAGGCGCGACCACCGAGTCTCTAGAGGATTGTGAGCATTGTGACACAATGCTCTAGTGGTGCAGCTCTGAAACCAAAAAGCAAATGCTATACATATAGAGGTTATATTATATATATATATATACAGTTGAATTATTTCAATTTTTTATTGTTTATGGTAGAAATCATGATGTGCGATGAATAACTTTTGAAATTTAAAGTTGTTTATATTAATAAAAGGAAGTTATTTTGTCTCATTGAAAACGAAATTTAAAAGGCATCAATTTGAAGTACTAAGACCTAAAATATGTATGATTCTGCAGTCATTTTGTGTTATTTAGAGGTAAACAATCAATAATCAATTGATTTTCACCCAAAAATGTCAGAAAGAAGGGGAGAAAAAAATTCGAAAATTGGTGGTTTCAAGGCAAAACCACTGCACATCAAAGGGTTAAAATAGAGTGTATTCTAAGAGGTACTTCATTCAAATCTTGTTGTATATAAAATAGAACAAATAATGCTTATTAAATGATAATTTACACCAGATGAAAGAAAAATATTTTACTTCAAAACTCAGCTTCAGCATTAAGAAAACCTACTTGCTTACATATATCAGCTAAAGCACCAGCTAATACTCTGTAAGCTGATGTCTTTCCCCCAAATGGCATCCCAACAATCATAAAACCATGACGCACAATCATCATTTCATATATCTACAGGAAAAGGAACAGAATAAAAATAATTTAAGTTCATTACATTTATATGACAATTTACAGAGAGAAAAATTTTAATTTTATATTAAAGACAAATACTAAATCTAATATTAATATATATACTAATTAGATTAAATTCAAACAATAAATATGTAAAAGAGAATTTGAAACACCAAGAAAAAAAACAGATACATTAGAGAAAAATCTACATTACTTTTTAACTGCCCCCCAAAAAAATTACGTTTAAAATAATATTGAGTTTTTAAATCCATAACATTTAATAAAATTTTACATACATTTATTTTATTTCATTTTCATCAGGAGCCTTTTTTTTTTTAAAGAGATAAATTTAATTTGAAAGCAGGAAATGCTTAACATTCTTTGCTAACTGAAAAATTCTTAGAACTGCATTTTCATTATCATTACTTCAATTTTTGTACGTTTCATATTCCATGCTCAATAATGCAATATTATATTTGATGTAAGGAAAAACACATGTGCAGAAAAATTCTATATGGAGTACTCTCTTAGCAAGAAAACTGAAACATGATTATGTCTAAATTTCTAACATACTCAAAAAGTAATGATCACAAAATATTCGAAAATGAATTGTGCAACTGAAAAAATAAATAAATGTCTTTCATAAATTCAATTTGTAAGAATAAATATATCATTTATACTTGCTGAATTTTTTCCAAGAATACAGGAGGACACTGTAAATTTATTTCTTCGCAATATTTATAGACAGCTGCATTTAAATACTGATAATCAGGAGTTGGTAAAGCGATTCCAGGAAAAAGATCTGAGGTTATTCCCTGTAGAGTAAGAAATTACTTTTTAAAAATGAAATAACCTAAGATATAATGTTTTTAGGTAAATATACATAACAATATACACAACCTTCAATTTCATTTTTAATAACATTTGTGATATAATGAACAAGTTTGTAAACAGAAATGGAAAAAAAAAAAAAAATCAATGCCGTTAAAATTCTTTTGTTAAATGATGATATAAGTAAGGCATGTTTAATTCACATGAAAACAAAAATTTATGTAATGTATGTGTTACTGGCAAAGCATGAAACACCAGCATTCTATAGAATGCCTAGGCATTGTATACACAATGCCAGACGATTTTAGGCAAAGTATGAAATATGAGAATTATTACATACATTCCCTAGGCATATAATACCCAGGCATTCTATAGAATGACAAATGCGCTTTAGGCAAAGTATGAAAAATATGTTATGGTAAGGTTATTATTTTAAAAACGTTCATTTCTCAGAAATTCAAATGTTATTTTGAAAAATTAATGAAAGAGTGCCATTAAAAAAATGTTATTCGAAATATGTAAAAAAATATTGAGATGATCTTGATACAACATAATAAGTTTGCTACCTGATTGACACTGGGAATCGGTAAGATCTACCAGACAACAGAAATTATATTTAGAAACAATCATTAGTTTCACATCGATGGCCTTTTTAATACCTTTTTGTTTTTCTGGCTGGGCTCATAAAGGCGGTTGTACAGTTCAATATCATTACGTGTAACGTTTTTGTAATTTGTTGAACATTCTTTCAACATTTTGTCACGTCCGTGTCCAGTACTCCAATGAGCTTTCATGAAATACGGAAAATAACTCGGCGTCTGTGGCGTAATACTGCACAGTACCGACGCTTTCTTTACCAGGGTAAATCAATGTACCTTTGCTTTCCATAAACATTGCATTTTAGCGATTAAGCCGCCAGTAGTCCAGTGGTTCCTTCTTGGTGGTCATTTTGGCCTTTTTACATCATTTATTAACTTCTAGTAAGTAGTTTCGGTTCTTTGAAATAAGACGGAAATGTATTTTATACTTTGCCAGTTTGGCAAAGTCCTTGGCATTTTATAGAATGCCTAGGAAATGTGTGAAATATGAATCGTTTCATACGGTGCCGGTTAGCTTTAGACATTCCATACAATGCCTAGGCATTGTATAGAATGCCGGATTTCAAACTTTGCCAGTAACATATGTATAAAAATTTATGTAAAAATTTCACAAACATAAATTTTTCATGCAATGCAATTAAACACTATTTAATTGTATCGCACTGAATTATACAGTGCATTTGTCCCTGAATTTCCCCCAATATGTTCAAATAACATCATCATAAATTTCAAGTAATAAAAATGATATAAACATTATACAGATTATCTTTAGATAACTTCTGTATGTTCCTCCATGTGTAAAATCATGAAATGATTAATTTCTGTTCACTTAGTTATATCCAAGTGAAAAAGAGAAAAGAATAAAATGAAACATATAGATATAGTACAAAATTGTATCTGAATATAGAAACACTCTTAAAACAAATTCACTCCACATTGAAACACAGTGCCTTCCAGGGGTAAAAAAAAAAGAAGTCATAGCAGCTAGACACGGCACTACCCGGCAGTTAGACAGGTGTCTTACTGCTGAATTTCTGCAGATGTAACACACGTGTACATTTGAAACAAACAAGCATAGTTGCTAAAAATTAGAAGCTTCTCGGTATTCATAACTTCACGTAATTTAATAACAAATGTAAGGGATAATAAATTTTGATGCTCAGATAAAATGAGTGCAAAAAGAAAGAGCTATTCTTTCAAGAACAGGAAAGGAATTGTGGAAAACTCCAGGGATAAATATCTTTCTGCAAAGGAAAGAAGCTGGATCTATGAATGGCCTGAAAATGTTGATTAGAGTACAATAACTTCAGTCAGCTGGTCAACAAGGAAATGCAAAGAAGTGCAAGTGTGGATCACATCGGGCACCATTATTTCCGGTATTGGAGCACATCATCAGTGAATGGATTTACTGATAGAAGAGCAAAGTATTTGGTTGTTTGCAAGGCTGATATTCAAGCATTTGCCCTTGCAATAGCACCACAGCTAGACATATCACCAGATGAACTCAAAGCATCAAAACACTGTGTGAAAAAATGGCTTCCTTCAGCAATATTAACTGTTTCTAAGATGATCAACAACACTGTTCAAATTGGAAGATAATGAAGTGATTAAACAAGCACTTGCATTCAAGTGTTTCATTCATGGCATCGACTTCTCTAAGTATCAACACTTGAGCATGGTAGCTATGGATGAAACTACAGTGTTTATGGGTCAAGGATCTAAATCTATCATTGATCAGAGGGGTTCTTCTGAGATATACATTCCCTCTACTGGTTACGAAAGTGTATGTATTACATGTATTTTGGAAATTAGTCTTGATGGAAAGGGCTCCCCTCTCTCAAATTATCTTTAACAGCATGAAAGAGAAAATCGAACAGGTTTCAGGTATTTATGTTCTCAAGACTGAAAAAGCTGAGTGCACACAAGCAGGAATAAGAAGGTAAGTCGATTTATTTCTATTACTTATTTTGTGAGGTGATCAACAAGGTATGCTAGTGTGGGATTCTGCCAGTATTTACCACACCAAACCATGAAAAACTTCCTTGCAGAAAGAAGAATTGAATAAATGATGATTCCTGCAGGAATGACTGCATATTTCCAAACTCTTGTTATTAAAATAAACAAGCCATTTAAAATCCACTGGTGCATGGAAATCCATGATTACACTGAAAATAGAATGGAGAGAAATCAACAATGAAACTTTGTTAAGCCTATGCTACAAGAACTCTTAACTTTGCTGAAGAATGCATGGGATAAAATAACGGACAGCTGTGTTGCCAATGTTCTACTAGCAGGCTGCATGGACAAAAAGAACTCTATTCCTCAACATGCGAGGCTATGGCAAATGGTCTTAGAGGAAATAAATTCACCAAAATTTCAGGCCAGAATTAATAATTTGGGGCTTAGTGTTGATGTTTCAGAAAAAGACAACATGGCTGCATATTAGAATAAATGATTTTGTTTGTTTCTGAATGTTTCTTGAACATGAATAATTGCATTTCTTGAGAATGAAGAAATGCCTTTCTTTAACATAAATTAAGGTTAACTGTGCACAATAAGACATCTCCTGAAAATAAGCGCTAGCATCAAAAATTAATATAACACAGGGTCTTATGTTTGAGAAAACATGGTAACACCATTATTATAATGATTCAAAAAGTACAGTACACCAATAAACTGCTTTAAGATGTCTGTGCACGTTAAACCTTAATGCAATTTTTATTTTTAATTTTCTCATAATATACAGAATTTCCAAATTTCCAACACAGGTTTGAAATCTAGATATACATGTTTGAAATCTAGATATTTATATTCAGAATGATCTAAATCAGACCACCAGCAAACAATTTTTTTTAAAAAAAGGGTATGCTTTATGCATTTGATATTTTTTTATAATAACTCATGCAGAGTTCCAATTCCTAAATTCACTTCGGCACTTATTAGCATAAATATGTATGAACAATAATTTGACTCCCTTTTTGTTTAGCTTTAATCTCAAATTGAAATATTCTACATTGAAACATCGTTTATTTTAAATGTACTCAAGAATTAATATCTTTGACACTAACTTGGCGAACCTATTTTCACTTTCTTCACCGTATGACAATACAACGCAGCTTGAGAAGTGACTCATGAAGCAATATCTAAACATTAAAATAAATAAATAAATAAATAAATAAATTAAATATAAGCAACTGAATACCAAAGAGCATGGTAATCTTTTATGTTGACACTTTTATGTTGTTGGTGATAATTACAGACTTCAATTAATTGCATTGCAAAGCATTGAATGGTGAGAAAAAATTTCACCAAAAATTTCTTTCTATATGCAAAAAATACATTTTGCACATGATAATCATAGGCCGAAAGATTACATTTGGTGCTGTTTAAATTGAGATAAGCCCAGGACTGGCAGCAGAGCTGGTATGTGCGCAGCTGGTGGCAGAATTTAGGGAAGGCAAAATGTTTAGTATTTAGAGAAGCAAAAAGCAACAAAATTATGAGAATGCAAAATCTTCTGGGCTATCTCGCTACATTTAATATTTAAACTAATAACTTGTGCTTGATTTGTAATGAGGTTGGGGATGCGTCTCACTTTCTCGAAAATTGTCTTTTCCTTTCACATATCAGATCACAATATCAAATTAACTGGAATAATGTTTTTGACAGTTTTAATGATTTCAGAAATTTATGTCAAGATATTGTTAGGTTTCTAAATAGTAAGCGACTGGCGGTGAGTGTTTGTGTTTGAGGTTTGTACTTCGTCTTGTTCCGAGCGTCCTTGTTAGTGTTCTTCCAGCTTGCAACTATTTAAGTGTTAATTTGTTGTGTAATGTGTCTTTTCCTAACTTTAACTTTGGTTTTACTAACATCTTATTTAATTATTTTATGTTTCTCTCTCTTTCCTTTTGTGATGTTAAGAAGCAGTTAGAATTCATGGAAGGCATGCAAATTTTTAGAAGTTACAGAAGTGTTTGCCAGCAGAATTTAGAAGCTTCAGAGAGTGCAATGGGTGTAAAATATCAAGCACCGGGCCTGGAAAAGTGTATGTGGGATTTTTCAGGGCATAGCTAAGTCTTAAACTTGCATGGGAAATAGGAGTAAGTATATAATAAATAACTAATAATAATTCAGGGCTTAACTTCTTCAGCATGCAATAGAAACAAGATAAAATCTAATTTTACATCACCAATACAGTATAGCGGACACTAGTTAAGCTTTATGATGATAGCTGGGAATTTGAAGATTTTCAGATATCACAAACAAAAAGCAAAATTTTATAATTAATGGACATTGTGCAGAAATGGTAATAAATTAGGATAATGTAACAGTAATTTTTCATTGCGATGAAGCTTGACTAACATCAATCAACATCAACTGATATC